CCCCCCCCCCCCCCCCTACCAGATCATGCTGGATCCATCACTGAAGCCAAGGTGATGCCAATATAAGGTGCATGGTTAAATGTCGTTATTTTGGGCATATTATAAGGTAGATTCCCAAAATCCTGCTATTTGCCCTATATTTAATATTAAATTATTTTTAACACCATGTAGTGGTCAAGGAGAGACAGTAGCAAGTATTTTGATTGACTTGAATGGTTTCTGGACGTATGAAAACAGAGAAGTCTTGGTGATGCAAGAAAGTCAAGGAGCTTCAGAAGTTTGATGTATCGACAAATCAGGCAAGGCATCATTAGTTATCCCTCCACAAAATAAGAATGTCTTTGCCACCACAATATCAGTAGGCATCATTTTGAAAGTAAAATGATACAGAATCGCATTTTTTTTTGTCCAAGGCATAGACTTGACTACAGTCCTGACTCCTGAGTTGTATATAAATGTACAGACGCTGTTATTTATTAAATATTTTACTCTTTTACAATGTTGGCAACTTAGAAAATACAGTAGCAAATATTAATGTATCGGAAATTTAATGAAATTGAGAATTTCAGTTAGCTACAGTACGAAATCTGGCTAAACGTACTTGTGAAAGCGGCGTGTAACACCAAATATTTGACTGTGGCTAGTAGACCAGCGGAAAAGTAAAAAATCATGCACTTTGTCAAGAAAGCACCCAATTCACAGGAAGTGTCAGAGGGAAGTGTAGACTTTAACGTGATAATGAATCTTAGATATGGAGGCATCACCAAAATTGATGCTGACGGCTTAAAATTTAGGATTTCTTATATTCTCTTATTAAACTCTATTACTGTTTAAATTTGTGAAATTGCAGGTTCACATATAGCAAAAATGACTTGCATGATTAGAAAGCTTACAAAAAACTACATATAAGACTTTTAAACGGCTGACTGATTTTCCAAGCGGTTTTCTAGTTATTGCTATTTCAAAATGTGATAACTAGGCAAAAATCCCGCCAAAGTCCTGGACACTAGCCCTAAAACATATTTTCAACCCCTCATAACTCCAGAGGAGTTGGAAAATCAAAGTAACTGCTTAAATGTCTTATATGCAGTTTTTTGTAAGCTTTCTAATGACGCATGTCATTTTTGCTATATGTGAACCTGCAATTGCACAATTTTTAGTTGTATAAGAGATTAATAAGAGAATATAAGAAATCCTAATTAAGCCGTCAGCATCAATTTTGGTGATGCCTCCATATCTAAGATTCATTATCATGTTAAAGTCTACACTTCTTGTGAATTTGGTGCTTTCTTCACAAAGTGCATGATTTTCTCAAATATCTGTGCATATCCGCTGGACTATACGGGCCGGTTGTATAAAACTCTTAATCACTTTTTAATCACTATTACTAAATAGTGATTAACTCTGAAATACGCGCTTCTTATTGGATGACGTTTCCACTAACTATAGTTAACTTTAATCACTTTTTTATACAACCGGCCCCTGATAGTCCTGGGACCAGTTCTACCTGTTTAGTAAAAAATTTAAACCCGTTTTGCGGGTCTATACATGCAGGTCTATACATGCAGGTCTATACATGCTCAGTTCGAAAATTCCGCTATTTTGCATATTCCGCAAAATTTGTTAAACGTTAATCAAGCACACATTAGATAGTTTTGAGGTCTGCTCTGAGGTCAGCCAGGCCTATAAAATTTGCTTTCTTTTATGGATGTTCAGTAAAATAACGTAATAACAGTACAACAGCATAAATGAATATTTTCGGTCAAATATTTTAAAATACCTGATATTTATCCACTATTCTACTGCAATAACCTGTTCCCAGTAAGAAAAAATGCTGAGGCAATTCTATTTAAAAACAAAACAATCACACAACACCTCGAATTTTATTGTCTGCTGTAAAAATAACAAAAAAAAACATACTCATTCACTGTGATGTCCATCATATAAACAAAATCAATTTGATGTTCAAATGTAACTCTGTGGGCATGCAAACTTTTAACAGCAACAAAGAAATCATACTCGTCCATTGTAGATGTAAACATTTTAATTTTGATGTTCAAAACAACAAGTTGAAATGCGACTCTGTGGGCATGCAAAATGTTTGCAGTTGCAGAGAATTCACTTTTTGTTGTCTGGCATTCCAACCCCCTAATGAGCTCAACCAAGCTGGTTAAACTTCGATACACTCCTACAATTCCCCTGAAGCTTTCTCTCTTATTCCTAACAAATCTCTTATCCAGTTCCAAATATCTTTGAACAGTTGAACAATTGCATCCCATATTGAAAGGTCTCCCCCAGGATGTGTTGTATATTCTGAACTATCTGATTCGGGTTCATCTTCAGACTGCGATCCTTGTTGTTTGGACATTTCTTCCATCATTTCCTCGCGAGAGTACATCTGCATGTTCGGCATTCCCGGCATGTCACTACAAATACATGAAATAAAACGTACAGTTTGTTGAACTGCAGGGAATGGGCAGCGATTTTATGACTAGGGTGCACGGGGTAATGTCCCCCAGAAACAGCCCCAATAACCTTACTAATTATTGTTTATGCAATAGCCTCGTTTCCATGTTAAAGACCATTTAAGTTAAGTTGAATCCACTCGACTTGGATTCAACTTAAATGATTGACTCTTGAAAGTGAACTCAGCCAGAACTTGTTCAGGATAAATTAATAAAAAATATTGCAATTGAATAGGTTGGGAAGAGCAGGGTTTTTTTCAGGATTTTCTCTTGGGTTCCGTTTTTGCAGAGAAGAGTGAGTTTAGCTGAAGAGCTGGGGTGGCTGCACCCCCCCCCCCCTGACACCTGTACTCAATAAATATAGTTGAGATGCGAAGTGTTAAAGCAGGGGCACTAAGGGACATTATAAACTGGTTAAAGATGGCGAATGCATTGTTTTTCTTGTGTTGTGAGATGAAGTCCAGTCATTTTTTCTCAATTATCAGGCTGCCACTAATTTCCACACATCACGAATTTAACTCAAACAACTTCATTTTTACTGCACTGAAACTTTGGTGAGAAGATTGAGTTTCAAAACTCAATTCAAGATCGAGTTTTTGGGGCCGTTTTATGGCCCTAAAAAATCCCCTGGAAGAGTTGTGAAAGGGGTGATGAAATAAAAAGTAATTCTCGATGCAATAGGCATGTTTTGACTTGGGGAGAAATTTTTTATTAAGGCTTTTTGTTCACCATACAATTTGTGTAGCCATTGACTCAGAATTTACTCGAGTGCAGTTGTTGACTCGACTCAACCAGATACTGTAGTGAAATGACTCAACTCGCGACTCGACCCTGTTGGTGAATCGTTACAACACTGTTTCAGAACAATGCAGCGTGTTTACAGCAGTGTGTCCTGCCATTAGTACCTTGCCTTCTTGAGATATTCTTGTGCTTGTTTTTCTTCATCAGACATGACTTGAAATTTTTCATCCTTCCTACTGCCACTCTTAAAGTTAATTTTCGTCTTGCTGCAAGCGTTTGTGTCAGAATAACAAACTTCATTGATTAATTGTGACAATGTTAGTTCATTCTTCCATAATTCTTCAGCAATGTCAGTGTCCGCATCACCAACAGTGTCATCACAAGCTTTTGCAACAGTCCTACACTCAGCTTTGCACGATCCGAGATCCTCTTGCTCAGATAATTGTAGTTCACCCTTTTTTTCTTCAATGTCTAACTTAGCAAGCCATTCACCTTCAAATTTTTCAGGATTGCAAGCCTTGTCAACTAAATCTTGTAATTTCTCCTCTCCAATCTAGAGAATATTTTGAACCATTTATTTAGTTTACAAAATCATAAAATGTGTTTTAAATTTTAGCAAGTATAAGGCTACAGTACAGTACTAAAATCAGAGTCCCTAATTTATAACTAGTGGGTAGTAGCCTCCTCTGCATATATCTCTATAGGAACTGTTCATTATTTATAAGATGGAGAGGCATGGTCATTAACCATGGTATGGGTGATTTTTGAAAATTTTGAAATATATTTTCTGGACACCTTTTATTCTTTAGCCAAACTTAGATTTTCAATTCCCCACTTCCTTTAAGAATCAAATTTAAGGTCCCCCCTCTCCCCGAGAGCCTGTGTAAAGCCGTAAATTCTCCCGTAATTAGCAACGTTAATTACGGGAGAATTTACGGCTATACACAGGCTCTCCCCATCAGAGATGATTAAATGCATTTTACATTGATAAATAGAAAGATGGTTTAATAATATTATGGAATATTTAGATATGTCATCTCCAGGTTCCCTCAGGATTTAGGTTACAAGAATCCCCCCCCCCCTCTGGTGCCCCAGTTTGTCACCCATGCCCCCATCACCCAAAAACTGAACGATCCCTTGGTGGTTAGGGTTAGATTTTTTTCTAAACCCTAACCCTGAGCCCTAGAGGCTCAGAAGAAGCTATATTTTATATGATACAACCTTTGTAGTGTCCTCCCTCATGGATTTTGCTTTTCTAAACAAATACTTCACAGCTTTCTGACAGACGTCACATTTTATAAAAGGTATGTCCTCTTTCATTGGAGGGTACAGTTTCTTAGACATACGTCCAGAAACGATGCTTAAGAGGTAAATAAATAAAAATAGTAAACAATATAGACGAAAATCGCCACGTGCAGCCATTATTTCTTTCTTTCAAATTTTCACTATTTCGGATCATTCAGAAGTCGTTTGGATGAAAATAATTTAGAATTTATCTTGGAATTTGGGAGAATTCGTCTAATTTTTATTGTTGTGAGTTTTTGCATTAAAACAAAATAAGTGTTTACATGTATGCAACAAGTCAAGCTCAGTTCTGCATCAAATTTTGTCAATATTGGATTTCACAATACAAAGTTACTTTGGGTGATGGAAAATATTTCGATACTAAACGCTGTTTCCACTTTGAAATTTGAGATTGTTTATGAATTGCAAATTATAAATTTAATGTGAAATTTTTGTGCACATTGATTGAGAGTATATTCAAACTATAGTTTTTCATTGTAAGTTTATGTTGTGAATACAGTTAAAAATATTAATTGAAAAAATTGCGTTTGTATTAAATTATTTCACTGCGCAAAATTCTTGCGATTATGAAACTCTGCGCAAAATTCCTCAAATTGTAAAAAGACTGCAAATAATTTCTGTAGAATCAGCACAAAATGTCTTTTTGAACCAAGTAGATTTCTGGTCTTCAAAGTTGACAAGAACGCTTACATGCCAGGTTTGCCATAAATTTTCTGCCAAGTTTTTTCGCCCCTTTTTCCCTAGGAAAAGACATTTCACGCGCAAAATAAAACTTTTTAGCCCGGCAATTTGCAGTTTCTGGAGTATTTCTTTATCATAACAATTTTTGCATATCAATCACCGGAAATCAAATTACAATTTCATTCAAAAATATTCTTTTACATTTTTTTCACAAATTTCAAAAAAGTTCCATTATTACAAGAAAATTTAACTTCAACGTGGAAACACCGAGCCTCGATTGCATGAATTACGTCATCACAAAATGTCACGTGGACGTTCTTTGTCGTTCGATGATCGTTTTGAAAAAATCAAGAAGGAAGGATTTTTGTCTTGTCAAGAATTTCAAGGTAAATCCACTCAAAACCAAGGTAAAAGTTATACTTTCACTTAGAATAAGACTTGTAGAAGTGTATTTAGTGTATAATTCTTGTTTAAACGTCGAAGATCTGTCTTTAAAACACGTTTAGGTCGTGAAATTCGGCGAGAACACCAAGACGAAACAAGGTCTGGAAGTGATTAGACGAAAGTGATTTTTGCTCGAGCACAGGAATTTTTGAGGCAGGTTTGAGTATGGAAATGATGGCAGGGGAAAGTGAGCTTCTCTTGACGGAATATTTGCTAAATTTCGAAGAGGAAAACGATGAGGAATGTTCATTTGAAACGGAAGGTTTTTCGTCTGACTTTGAATGTAGCGAAGATGAAGATGTATGCTCTTTGTCCTCGCTTAAAGAAACCCTTAAAACTAACCCTAAAAAAGCCTCCACCAAACAAAACGCGAACAAACCAACGGCTTTCAAATCTCGTACTAAGCTAGCACATGAAAAAACAGCAGAAGAGAAAGAGAAAGACCGCGTTCGCTCGCAAGAGTACAGGCAGAGAAAATCAAACAAAATCAAATCTACCGAAAAGGAATGCAAACAATTAAAAGAGACCAATAAGACGCTGAATGAAAAGAACATAGAGCTAGGCGAAAAGGTTTCGAGTCTCGAAAAGCAAATAGAATATTTGGAAAAGGTGATCGCAAATGAGAGTGCATTGTCCGCAGTCCTGGGTGCGATCACAAAGCATTCTGGGTTGTCGTTTAACAACAACCCACTGCAAGTGAATTCTCTGAAACGGAAAAGAGAGGACGGTGAGATGGATGAAAATGAACCGCAAACGAAGCATCCGAATGGTGGCGTATGTTTGCATCTAACACCCGGACGTATGTCACTGGAGTTTTGTCGAGAATGTGATGTAAATGCCGCCGATGAATAAATGGATAGGTCATCCGTATGCTGGTTGTGTGGTGTTGGCTGTCTTTCATGTTGAAGAATTTTGCCTTGTATTGCTTTAAAAACCTCCATTGGGTAAGATTGACAAAGGTCGATTCTGACTATATATTTATACATTTAGAATTACAATTATTGTTGCAAACTTTTTTGCATTATTAATTCATTCGGGTCTTTCACGTCAGGAAAGTATCGGTGTTGAACGAATATTTATACGCTTTAAAGTAACCGCTTACAGAGGACGACCTTGTTGGTCAAATATAGAATTGCACAATAAAGAAAATAGTTGTTTAGAATGATTGCAGAGTGTTACACTGTATAACCTTGTTTTTGTCAAATTGTTGACTGGCTAAAACCAACTTTCACTTGGGCAATGCTACCTGCAACAATTGCCGCCAAAATGTGAACCGCCAAATCTGATGCATGGGGGTAACCCAGTACGGGTACCCAAGCTAGTTTGCTTTGCCGAAATAGTTAAGGGGGCCCGGCTTCTCTGTTCCCATAGAAATGCAAAATGAAATTTAGTAGGAAATAATAACAAAGGCGGAATCTCGCCTTCAGGTAAAACCAATCTGGCATAGGTGTCTGGGATGGCTCGCCCCAGATAAACAGTCCTTTACATACAATTGTGGCTGCAAAGTCATATTTGATGAGTACCAGATTGGTTATGGTACTATAAAAAAAGTTTTAATTTTTAAAAGTTGCTTTTGTTATACATGTACACTCCAAATATTCTTCTGAACAACTTTTTTTCATGTAAAAGTAGTAGAGTGTAAATAGTATTGCTTGATAAATATTATATTTGTATATGTAAAATGTTCTTTGTCACTGAAATATTTTATTCCCTCTTTCTTTATGCCATGCAGTATAGCACAGTGGATGCTTGACATTCCCTGCACACTCCGGAGTCAAGTCATTCATTACATGTATAAAGCCTCTGGGATAATACGTAAGTTTCTGAGTTCTCCCTCCCGTAAGTATGCGAGGGAGAATGGTCAGGTAAAGGTTTTGAGGGTTTTTGCCAAGTTTTGAAAAAAATTCCGAGCTTTAATCTTTGATATATTCAATGCTAAGTAACTTTGCGAGTGTTGTATTTGAATGATTTAATCCAACAAATCTTTATGCCCTAATGCACTCAACATTGTTATTTTATTCTTAGTATCAGACAGTTTTAATTCGTCAAGACACAATGGATTGAGGGTTTAAGGAGTAAGACAAGGGTTAAATTTTTGAACGAGAATCAATAAGGGTTTTGGATTAGCCTTTGTAAACATCATTAACTCATTAATACAGAACAAATTAATTATACTTTAAAAATGTTTAAAAAACAGTGTAATGTAGAGGTGTTTTCATGTTTAAATGCCTTTCCAACATAGTTTGTTCACGTTGTAACTTTTGCATCCAGACATATCTTTTAGTATTTGACAGCGGTAAACAGTGGATGAATTCATACTTGGAGGAAACCTGTACAGTACTGATCATGTGTCATTTTATGATTCTGATATGTAAGGTATTATCAGAGAATATAGATAATTATATTCACTGAAAAAATATAAGACTGAAAACGACAGATACTACACAAGCGATCTATTTGAAGATGTAAACATTTATTTTATTTTTTTGCACCCTACTTTATTATTTTCCTCAGTCTAGCACCAGACAATTTTACTCATCCTGGGGGAGACCAATGGGTTGGAAAACCATTGAAAAGAACAGATACTTCACAAGCGATATTTTTAATCAAAATTGAATGTTCAAAAAACATTGAAAAGAACAGATACTTCACAAGTGATATTTTTAATCAAAATTGAATGTCTCTGAAAAAGTAACCTAAATGCATTATATTACAACTATTACTGTTGAAAAGAACAGATACTTCACCATTTAAGTTGTTATAACCATGAAAATAACATTGCCAGACATCTGATCGGTATATTTTTGAAAATGAGCAGATACAAAAAGAACAAACCCTACGTGCATCTACTGAATTTGAAGTTATTCAAAGTAAAATAATGTATATTTTATTTTATAAACATGGCAAGAATAGATAATATAAACAAGCTTTCATTGATTTGGTAGGGATGCAACTACCTGAAAAATATAAGGGCCTTCGCTCGAAACTTTGAAATTCTCCTTGTATTTTTCTGGTGGTTCCATCACTGCCAATGAAAGCTTGTTCATATTAATACACATCTGTTTGGTTAATTGGATATTGAAACGCATCTGATAGGTCAACGGTTTCTTAATGGTAGATGTAGCAGCAGTTGAAGTCATGTCTGAAATTTCCTATTATCTTACTCTGAACAATTTTACTCCACAAAGAAAGGGAGGGATTAGCTATAGTATGTGTTTGGTAGTATACATATTGATATTCTCCAAATAATGCTCTAACTGTGCTAGTTATGGCAAAATCTTCCATGAAATCATGTGGAGTAAATTACAGTACCATGTTATTTCAATGTTGCGTTTTGTATAACATATCCACTACATAAAACATGTACTATCTTCACATGTTAAAATTTCTGGTATTATCCACTTTGACAATATATTTCACATAGATGTACACACATGTGTTATAACTAGAGTATATTAACTACATAAATAAATTATGATATTAAAATCTATTTTTAAAAAAGTTGTGCAGATTGCGTCTAATGAAGTTTGAACATACTGTGGTTTACATGCATGTCATCGACATATCTGAAAATAAAAAATATATATTCATTTTAGATGGTTATAAATTAAATCTAAGGGCATGTTTATATCATTATATGGGAGTTGTGTTTTAACCCAATAAGCTGAAATGCACATTTACTCTGTCTAATGCCAGACAATTTTACACGACAAGGGAAGATTCTTGTACACTAAATGGTTAACCTGTTGAGTGATAGCACCCTTCCCTTGGCCAATAAAATCATCTGGCATTAGAGTATAGGGTGCATTGCCACTTAAAGGGTAATGTGCCAACTTTATTATTTACACTGTCTAACACCAGACCAATTTTACTGGTCAAGAGGAGTCTTAGCATTAATGGTTTCAAAACATCAGTTAGACTGGGCACTTCACAGTGATAAGGAAAGTGTCGGATTGTAGGGATACAACTACCTGAAAAATACAAAGACAGCTTAGACGTTTTGAGCGATGCCCCTTCGTTGGGAAGTTTGGCAGAGCTTATGATTTTGGCAAAGTAAGCCATGATTATGGAGCTTACCTCTGTTGTTTGACAATTCCTTCGAAAAAACATACATTACCAATATAACAAATTTTACCTGGTCATCGGACTGTTAATGTGTGGAAACCGACTTGGTGCTTCTTTCTTGTAGTCCAAACTTTTATGCGGGGGCCCTGTTCCCCACCTAGGGGATGCACGTTTATTCATGTACCCTCTTGAAGGCAGCGTCTGTCTTAGTGTTGACCATTCCTCGCATCGGGTTGCATGAGAATAAGGAAGCAACCTCAACTCTTCTCTGTCACGGGCACGTAATTCTGATGGTGCATCCACTTGGTAACGCCAGGCTATTGGGATGTTATTCAAGTTTTCGGGTATTGGACGCACTGTAATAACAGCAATAATTATATATAACAAGTCCATTATGTTGTAACAGGAATTTGCTGTGGAATTTTGAAGGTTTTTTTTTGCTAGCAGTGTTCATATGGGTTGCCTGCTTATACACATGTGAAAATATCACATCTTGTAGCAAATCTGTGAACAAGTTCTGTTTGCACTACTTGTCCCAAGTTGTCAACAAGTTTGGAACAACTTGTAACAATGTTGTTGATATCATCAGACTTGTTGCAAGGTAGTTTCAACAAAGTTGATACGGTCATGATACAACAGTATCGCCTACAACTTTGTGTCGTCAATCTAGTAACATTCTTGTTATACCATGACTGTATCAGACTTGTTAGAACAACCTTGTAACAAGTCTGATAATACCATCAAGCTTGTTACAAGTTGTTAACAACTTGTTCCAAACTTTTTGCAACAACTGGGAACAAGCAGTGGGAACACAACTTTGTCGACAGCTTGTGAACTGATTTGTAACAACTTGTTTGCAGACTTGTTACAACTTGTGCGTTTTAATACGTGTGGGCAAGCCAAATGTGGGACTTGGCAATATTTCCTGAGCTTTTAATGTTTTTTAACAGCTTGTAGACCGACCAGTCGCACTATTAAAACAATACAAGCCGTTTCCATGTAGTTTATACTCGGTACTTAAAATTCAATTTTGCATACCTATAAATTTCCATCGTTGGACAGGGGTCGTACTTCTAAGATCCGTGGGAGTGTATCGTTTATTCACCCAAACGACATCGTTTCTTTGAGGTTGTATTGATACAACATCGGGAAATCTGTACTGGAAAAACGGGGCACCAAGGCACTCGGCAGCCATTTGTTTTGTTTTTGTGAAAAGTTGCAATTAACTTCGTTGCCATGACGAGAAGTTAATTTTAAACTCCATGTGAACACGCGCTTTTTCTTCAGCGCGCGAGCGACTGTGAGTGGCTAAAATGACTTGAATTTGATTGGTGCACGCACGCCAAGTTAATTAGATGGCTTCAAGGAGCGCAGTCTCCTCTGCAGTCTGCAATGTTCTGTTCTTCTGTTACGCTTTACATAATCTTGTTTATATCGGCTTTTTATCACGTATGCATGACTGGATAGTTGCTGTAGCTAGCGCAGTAAAAAATGTGCTTGTTAAAGTCGCTACAGACAGTATATTTGAAAATGTGGATGTATAACAACCTCAACATGTTTGCATATTTAACCATGACATTTAACTAAAGCATTCTGAGTATTTCCTCGTGAGCTCACAAATCATAAAATGTATGGTCAAGCAGATTTTTCCTCTAGGCGGGGTGCCGCATCCCCATGGTAGACGCCTCTGGATTTTAAATCTTTGTTAGATGGGTACATTAACCAACATTCTGGGCAGTGGCCCCCACTCCGGGCAAAGACCTACCTAAAATAATCGTGTTTTGTGATTGGCTTTCAGAAACAAAAATGATCATTGTTCGTGACTAGCTAGTTGTTTAGAAAGACGATTTCTATAGTATAAAATGATCATGTTTTGTGATAGTCTTTCATTGTCATAATCAACCAACCACGAAACCTGGATAGTATAAGTATAATCTTTTTCCGCCCATACCCTTGCTTTGCTACATCCCCCAACTGTCTGCATTAACCCATTGAGTCACATTGCTCCCTACTTTATTATTTTACGCTGTCTAATGCCAGACAATTTTACTTGCCAATGAGAGAGTGCTGGTGCTTATTAATGGTCAACTGGCATATCTGCCCATGTGTCTGGTTACCCTATTTAGGTTCGGTCCCAGCCGTTCCCTCTTGGGGCCCCCAATGGATTCAAGAAGTTCTACTGCACTCGATACTTGATCAAGTCACAACAATTATAATATTGCACAACAATTTTTTTTCAATTTTATAATTTAAAACACTAACATTCACCATGTCAATTTGATAAGCTATTATTAAAGCTACAACGATCATTTTCTCAACTATTTTGAGACATCTTATAAATCTGAACGTCCCTCTCTATCAATCTTTATCAATTCCACTTCAAATACCAATGTGGCTCCACCTGTAAACATGAAAATTGCTTGGCATTTAGTACATTTTATATACGAGGGTTTCAACTTTCAAGGCATATTTTGCATTGGCCAGGAACAAATGAATTTTTTTTTCCTGTGATGGTGAAATCTGTGGGGAACAAAGGAATTTCCTAGGGAACATGGAAACACAGACCCACAAATACTGTACCTGGAATTTTTGGAGGAGCACCAGAATCACCATAGCCTAGAAATGTGAATAAAAATACTACATAAAAATGGTCCATTAAATGATATTTGATTGAAACTGAGTGATAGGCATCCACAGGCATCACATTTATGGTATTAGCATGGATTGTAAAATTATTTTATTATCCATGGTATTAGCAATACTATTTATAGTTGATGTTGGTTTTTGACTTGCTGTTTGTGGATGATGAACTCACCTAAGCTAGGAGGAATCACAAGCTTTCTTTTCTCTCCTTCACACATGCTAAATGAGAAATAAATCAGCTGTAGTAAACTTTACTACAGTATGCCAATAAAAATTATTGAACAGATTTTGTTGGTAATGGACAAAGGAACATGACTTTGGCAAAATTGTAACATGCAAGATGGTATCCTTGGGTAAATAACCTTTCAAAACCAACACAATAGTATTAAAGTATCAAAAGCTGCCAATATTAGGAGTATATGCGCAAAAAGAAAAGCATTTACGATAGGGAAACAGCTCAAGCTACATCAATAAGGTATGGAATTTTACTGCTTTTTTTCTTGTGACAAAACAACATTATATGGAGTTTATTTTTTATATCGTAATTTTAATTTCTTTGTAGGTTTGCATGGCGATAAAACTATTATTTGTGGAAACACCACGTAAATTTATTACAAATAATTTTATCTCGTAATTTTCTTTAAACTTTTTGCTAGAGCTTTGTGGAAGACAATGCTATTCCCAGCCTTTTGAATATAAGCAATAAATATGTGCAAACATTTGACTGTGGTGTTTTCAAAACCTGATTTCAATTTGTATACCAGTAATTAACACTCATAATTTTCTTTAAACTTTTTGCTAGAGTTTCAAGAAGACAATACTACATATTCCCAGTCTTTTGATACTCACTTCAAAAGACCTTGATCCCAACCTATTGGTAAAGAAAATAAATAAAATTGTGAAAATTAGTGTCTAGGACAAGTCAAAGTGCCCTATAAACTATATTTTGTACATTTTGTATTGGAGAAAAAAATAACTAAAACGAGTGTCAGTGATGCAACTTAGCGTTTGCCTGGGGCAAGTAAAAATCATTACGGGCAAGTAAAAGTTGCCTCTTGGCTGCCCAATGGGGGAATTTTTTCAACGTTTTGTCAGAAATTAATTGCTACACAAAATTGTTTGCTTGTTTATGGTATACATTCTACTTTCCATTCATTACTGATAAATCCGCAGAAAACAACACATCATATTTAAGTCTTCAATTGAATTTGTTAAGGAAAATATAAGATTGAAATTTAATTCAATCAATCCTTACTGCAATCATTTCCAAAACTAGACCTGATGGCAAGTGAATTTTATTCCAGGCAAAAAATTTTCATGTGACTGAGTGTATAAACTTGCCTTCATCACAAGTGGTAAAAATAGTTAAGTTACATTCCCTTGAACTTTTCCTACTGATAGTCTGATAGAAATGGCTAGCTTCTATGAAGGATATAATATGTACATATATACCTTTGATAACTTGGCCGGTTCCTAGCGTAAACACAAATGGGTCACCCCTTGGAATACTGCTATCAAATTCTGTGCCATCTTTAAGTGTTCCCTAAATTTTCAAAAAGTAACATGTTGGGTTTTTTCTACAAAACTTACTGATGTCAGATATACCATACATGAAATTTTTGAAGCTGCTTTGTAATGGCATTGAATTGTAAGACTTTTGTAGAGTAGATGAAATTTACGAGTGGAAATTGTGTGTGTTTTTAGACCTGGCCAACTGCAAAACAATATGCAGCCATAGCCCATAGGTCCACTGGCAGGAATCAAGCCTGCAGCCCTGTGATCCTAGTGCAGCGCCCTCTGGCAGAGTGTTTTTCACACAATTTTGAGTTTTCCCAATTTCCACGAGTGTTTTCATAACTGTACATTCAACATTGATCAACATGGTTTATCAAAGTTTTTATATAATTTTTGTTAAATAGTATATATATATAAAGGTCATGTCAGTGCAAACTACAAAGTATATTGGTAAATATATTTGGGGCATCTTGCTTATAGTGGGATTTGTGCAAACTCTGTTTTTTGGTTTGCGGCTGCTTTATAGTTCAATTAACTGTCTCCATCTGCATTGGTTCACAACTCAGTAGACAAAGTCTATAACCGGATAATGCCTCATATTATTCAGCTCAATTTTGTCCCCCAGGTAATACCATGACGTGATGCAGTGTATCAAATCATGACACTTGCAATTTAGAACTTTTCCTGTGATAGAATACATCACAGACATAATGACTTGTTGCAATCTGGCCATCTGCAGTAGCTAATGGCAAAGTGGTTTGACACAACTGATGCGACTTCATATTATAAGTACTTTTCAACAAATTCAATGTTGCTATTATATTTGTAACCAATGATAATTTCTTCTGTCACATTTCTTTCATTCCCGTGTGTCTTGGCCTTAACCCATCAAGGGCTCTCCCCTTGACAAGTAAAATAATCTGGCATTAGATGGAGCATTAACATAATAAAGTAGGGCACATCAGGGCGCAATGCGATTCAATGGGTTATTAAGTCCACTAAGTCAGTGTTGTACACAATTCCCAGTACTACAGACCGTAACATTGAGTGCAACAGACTGTAACATGTTACTTGGTGTTACATCTAGTGTTGCACAATGTTGCACAACTGTTGCATTTGTGATATGTCCTAAAATCAAACTTTAAGCTATACCTAGCCACTTTAAGTTTTGCAAATCAAATATTCAGCGTGCTTGTATTGTCTGGAATCTCGTGTCAATTATTACAAATTTCAGCGCAAATATCTGAAATATTTACGCCAATTCGCATTAATCTACATTCATTTACACAGACCAGATTATTTGTTTATAACAACCTACCGTATAATGCATATGCAACGTGTCGCCATTTTGTGACTTGACTTTGCAGTCCTTGACGCGTTTCTTAACCCCGATATTCAACCTTTCTTCGGCGGCAAACGATACAAAACATTGCGCTAAAATTATTAGTGTGACACTTAGAAACGCTACTACTTTACACATCTTTGAAAAACTCGATTATTTTAACGATTTTATAGAGTGTTTTGTTTATAATTGTGTCAAAATATAAAACTCGTGGTCTCGTTCGAGTTATGCCTGTTCGCAGGTTAGGGTAATGGGACTGTCAAATTAAATGTCAATTTTTCACCAAATAACTGGTGGGGCTCAACCCCAGCCCCCATGGTGCCCCCCCCCCCCCCCCCCCCCCCCCCAGCAAAACATTGTAAAATGTAAGAATTTACAAAACATTGTAGGAATTTACAAGGGTGAATTTCATACTTCTAGTAACGGAAACTTGCTTTGTGAATCTTTAATATGTCGTGTCTTTCGTCTTCAAATGATTCAATGTCTTTTTAAAAATGCTAACATTGTGTTTTTGATGTTACTCTGAGCTCTATGCTCTGAGTGTATATCCACACCGGGCAGGCTGGAAAGTTAGATCATGATCATAGAACACATTGGTATAATGGTATCGAAGGTACTATACTTAGTTCCGAAATACCACACTCGAACAGACTTGGCCTCGTAGCTAAGTTGGCACCCAAAGGTCGCGGGTTCGATTCCCACTGTGGTCAGGCTAATTTTTCGGCCTGCCCAGTGTGGATAAAAACATTATATTCAACTGAGTACATAACATCAAAACACACACAAAAAATATCGCTAACCATTGTGTTGTAAATACGTACCTTAGTAGATTTTAAAAATTTCCCAGTAGACAGCATATTCCAGACCCTATACTCTATACTTAGTCTATATGATTTGAGTTGTTGGAAGGCTAGGCTACACAAGTTGGTTAGTGACCGAGTTGTGGTATTTACTGAACATACCATGCAAGTACTTCAGTCACTGAAGATTCAGTCTATTTACAACATATAATATAACGCTGTTTATTATATAGTAAAGAGTGAAATACTGAAAAATACACAGTGAGATATTTTCCATATCTTAGATATCGATCACGAGACTTTTTGCAATTTGCTTTTGAGCGTGAAATTTCCCAATTTTTTGCTTGGGACTATATAATTGACTTTTATCTTCTCGTGTTAAAAAATATTTTACTCACTCGCTGCGCTCGTTCGTAAAATTTTGTTTTCACCACACGAAGCCGATACAGAGGATATTACACGGCGGGGCGAAGATATGACTTTTTATTGTATAGTAGAGAGTGAGACACTGAAAAATACACAGTGAGATATTTTCCATATCTTCACTAGTGAAGATATCGGCGATCACGTGACTTTTAGTATTTATACAATTTTTTGCTTGGGACTATATAATAAACAGAACATTACACGGTGGCTTGAAGATATGACTTTTATCTTCTCGTGTTAAAAACAATATTTTACTCACTCGATGCGCTCGTTCGTAAAATATTGTTTTCACCACTCGAAGATAAAAAGTCATATCTTCGCACCGCCGTGTAATATCCTAGTATGTATCTTCAAGTTGTGAAAACAATATTTTCGGAACGAGCGCAGCGAGTGAGTAAAATATTGTTTTTAACACGAGAAGATAAAAGTCATATCTTCAAGCTACCGTGTAATT